TTGGATAATCGCGCCTCGGAGCTATAGTCGCGCCTGTTCGCCGAAGAGAGGCTACCCTGGGGTAGAGAGAAGACACGCTTTGCTGCAATTGCACCGGCTGCCCATCCGCGTGGAAATCATAGCTCGCTGCGGGACTCGAAATTGTCCGGAAACACTCGGATTCTTCTTTCACCGGGGGCTGATGGCGGTGGCGAAAAGGGTATGGGTTCAACTTCTTCGGGGATTTGAAAAGTAAAGGGGTCGATATTCTCTCTCTCTCTCTGTCTGTCTCTTTCTCTCTTTGTAATTCCACGAGCAGCTTGGAATTGGTCCTCGTAGCGCGAGAGAATCGGATCTGGGTTAGGGAGCGGCGTGGAACGACCTTGAACAAACTACAGTTGTTCCCGTCACTACGATTATCGAAGGGACGATCTTTGGACACGGTCGATGGGGATGACACTCCCTCTTCGACATATGCTTCGTGATTTCCAAGCATATCGAGGGGAGGTTTCTTGGTTAGATTTCTATTCGTGCTTCTGTATCGATTTTAAACTATTTATCTTGGGAACTTGTGCTTTATTCAACTTGAAACTTGAATAAATGTTCCTTTGCGCGGTTGAATATCGATTTGAAATGTAAAAGAATTTCTTAACTCCACGAATCTGACAAATTCTTGTTCGCATTTTTGTTAAATGATACACGAGTGAAAAAAGAAAAAATTATGGAAACAAAGAAACTCGAAGGAAAATTTCCAAAATTGGGAGCCCGATAAAACGAAACAAAACCGAGCGAAAACAAGATCCATCCGTTTCGTTGATTGCGTCCGAGTTGTATCCGCGAATCATCGTTCGAGGGTATAAATCCTCGCGGATAATCCCCTTAGGGGTCAGGGACCGGAAGCGCCATATTGTGAAATCTGACGGAGAGAGCAGCGATGTACGAGGTTCGAGGTTCGTCCGACGTTGGATGGTATTAGATGTCATCGCGAGAGAGATTACGCGCCGCTTTCAAAGAGCCCTCTCGCCATCCCTCCTTTCCTTCTTTCCTCTCTTCCCCCTCCTTCTTTCACCCCTTCGCTCCCTCGCCTCTCCACAACCTTTCTTCTCCGGAGGTGCACCGCTATTTCACCTATACACGCCTTTCCTCGTCTCTTCGAGAACGTTTGTCGAGAAACGCGCGTTCCTTCCCCGGCGAACAACCCCTGTGGCATCGAAGGGAGCCAGCTCTCATATCCCATTTGCCCCTATTTTTCATAAGCGATATTAGAATCTATCACCGAGACCCGGCAGGCACTCCACTCGAGAGCAGAGGGGAGGAAGGGGAAGGGATGGAGACGAATCGAGGACCATGGAGGGTGGAGGAGGGAAAGGGGCAGAGGGAGGTCGGATACCGTTAAAAAAAGATGGAGAGACACCGACGATTATCGGTCGGGTGGGGTTGCCTCGATCGCTGACGATTATCGATCCCCATTCAACCGACGACGTGAATGGATCCAGACCCTTTCCATTTCGTATTATGTCTTCCTTTTCTATCTGTCTCTGCTTGCTTCTAAGAGATGGCGAAAGTTGTATCCCTGCAGCCCTGATATTTCATTCACCCAGACTATGGATCGGTCTCGGATCGATGAACCGGATCGATCCTCCCTCCGAGTGGTTTTACTTTGATCTTTGCGAATGTTTCGTATGGATTAAATTAATTTATTTTGATTATTGTATATATAAACGTTGAAAAGTGATATTTTCATCCTGTATTGTTAACTTTCAATATTGATTGATTAATCGTATTTCGCAATATAATATTATTTCCAATTATTTCAATAAAGTAATTCAAATTGAATATCACAATACGATGTTAACAATCATCGACAGTAATTTATATCACGAATTGCTGGTGTTGAAATAATCTTCCATTGTGAGAAATTCAAAAAAAAAAGAATTGGTTTCGTAACTATTATTTCGTGCACTGCTTATCTCCCGATCTACAGCTATCATTTCGCCAAAACGGAAACGTGGAGTGCCGCGAAAGACATTCGGAACGACCTTCGACCACTTGGAAAGAAAGAGCACGATAACAGATGATGTTATGCAAATCTCGAACAACCTTTCGCCTTCCTATTTTCTCTTTTTCGCTCGATCGCGGCCGCTATTTCTTCTAATCGAGCCGCTATGAATTTACATTTTTCGTACTTTTCCCACAGCGGACCAAAATTCCTCCGCTCGTTTGTACACGTGATACGAGGGCCGGATGTAAATGCTACCCGTTTCGATTCCTGGCACGCGCCCCCCTCTTTTATTCTTTATGTTAATCGCACCTGAATAAAGGTCTGCGTAACCGGACATCGTGATCGATCCTACGCGTGATAAGATTCGATAAAATTCGAAGAGGCTACTCTCAAAACTGAAATTCTAACTGAAAATCGATAATACAGCGTATTATTAAGTTTTTGTAAAACATCAAATTTAGAATGATCTAATCGTTCTTAATGTCTTAAAAATCTTGGAAGAAAAAACCGTCTTTAAGTTTGTAAAATATTGTACGACATTCGAGAATCATATACTTTTTTCTTATTTATTATCCAGTAAAAAAAATATTTTAAACGCGAAACTACGTTCCTTACAAAACGTACAAAATTCCTATGTCCAGTCGCATTACTAAGAATTCACAAAAAAAAAAAAATACCCCTTTATCGCAACAAAAATTCAATCGCAAAAATATAAGATCCGATCCTCCCGAGAAATTCCCCGTTTTCGACAAGAAACGATCTAATTTCGCGGCAACTATTTAATAAATCACCCTTCTCTCGGAAACGAGAAAAATTTCACCCGACCAATGTCTTCCGACCTAACCGTGTCGGTACCAAGAATTTTCCATCGTTTCCACGGAAATTCCGATACGATATCCCTCCCGTATCGGATGAAAAACGCGGGGGAAATTTCCCAGCTGACGATCCCTTTTTCCTTCTTCGACCGTTTCTTCTTAAGCACGGAAGAATTTCGGCAAGAAAGGAGGCGGACGCGTGTTTCGCGCGTTCATGAATCGCACGCAATCACCGCCGTGATTAACGAGCCGATTGATCGCCGCGTCAAATTAATGTTATTTATCTTCGACTGGATCGAAGTTGGCGCGTTGGCGTCGCGCGTATTACCGTAATTACTAATTATAGTTTCGAGCCAGCCTCGTTAATTACCCGTTCTCGTGGATGAAACGCGCGAGTGAAACACCGGCTATTATTGACTCGCTAAATAGAGAACAGTCTCGGCCATATTTTCAGCCGTATTTGCGCGCCGCGGGAAACTTGCGTGCCACGCACACACTGCGTAACGAAATTTCGCCCGCGGACAAGCGACGTCAGCAATCGTATGGCGTGAAACTCTGACGTTTTAACGATCGCCGGTGATTAAACAGCAATTAACGACCTGGCTGATATCGGATTATTGCTGGCCGGATCGATCTATCGCCCCCCTTCACTCCGCAGAGAAGAAAAATTTTTTTTCCACTCACCTCTGTGCCTGTTGGTCTGTTTGTCGAACATCAGCATGGCGTCCTCGATCTGTAATTCGAATTGAAACGAATACATCAGTCGATTTGAACGAGAATTATTGATTTTTACAAAAATAATCGGTTTAGGGATGATATTTGTTTGAAATTTGTTATTTTCATCGTATGCTTAAAAATTGACCGAATATTTTTGCAAGTATGTGTAGATCAATTGAGATATAAAATTATAAAATTCAATTTAGCTGAGAGTTTTAACTTTGAATAATATAAAACGTGCTCTATTAATCAATAGTAAAAACGTCACAAGAACGGGGATAAAATTTTCCGCAGACTTTCGGAATAAAGCGTACGATCGCGTTACAAGCAACGCGCGATAAATACGAGGGATGGGAAAAAAAATAAGAAAAAAGTAGAAGCGAGGCGCAACAAGACGTCACAACTTAACGTCATAAATTAGTAGCGACCCTTGCCTCGCCTCTACTGAAAAAACAATCCCTTCTCTACGTGTCGGGAGTCTAAAGTGGCGGCGCGGCGGTGGCAAAAGGCGTTACGGATCATAAACAAGACTGGCGAGAAACACCATGCCGAGAACAGGAGGCGACGACAAATTTCGCAAGAAAAAATTAAAACAATACGATCCGAAGACACGTAAAATTCCAAGTCCAATTGTCTTCCTTCCATGTCCACCCTTCGATAAAAC